GATTTGCCCAAAACTTTTTCCACATGTTGGCACTAAAGCAGAAAACCATGCTTCATTGCTCTGAATTTTGGAAGTCGAGTGTTATGTAAATTCCAGAATGTTCAGAACGCCTGCCAGTGCATGCTTCACAACACCTTTCTGTTCTTTGCACCAATTTAATTTTTCTGTTGAAATGTACAGTGCTTTCCGAAAATTACACAAATGAATATGTTCTTTTTAGTAATGTTAAGTTCAGCTTGATGTCAAAATAAAGTTTTTATCATGACTTTTTCTAAGTTGTTTTTTCTCTTCAAATTAGTGGGCTTCAACTGTAAATTGCAATTGGCCTCCATTCCCTTTGAAAGGAAAAGTTTCATATCGTTTCTTTTATCTTAATCCAATTTCTCTTGAAAAATAACATTCTAGCATCAGGTAATTCTACTTGGCTGCAGAATTTGATCAATTTGAAATTTTTCAATTCCTGTTAAGATCTTTTTTAAAATCTTTATTAGCTTCCTCTCAATTCAATTCAGTTGAATTCAATTTAATTCTGCAGTGGTATTTTATATAATTGAACCAGTTCTTTTTAACCTAAGCGAAGAACAAATTCATATGCATTTATGTTCAACAATGAAATAATAACCTGTTACTAATCGAACCTCAAGGGCCGTAACAGGGCTTATCGGCCCGAGGTTGTGGCAGTACAGACTTTGCAGCACTTGGTCCTAAATAAATGACTGAGGGTCAATATTCCTCAGTACGGCTCAAGCAAGCTAGGTTAGCAAGTAGTTTATTATATGACATTGGTAGCCTCTTCCAGGTATTCAGTTAGTTGGGGAGAAGCGTGGCAAGGGAAAGCTTTCTCTGGCTGCACTTCTCTCATATTTTGTCCCTCACTGTTTTGCAGACTGCACCACAACTAACTGGATGCCTGGAAGAGGCTATGACACTAGAGCCAAAAATTACATGCCTTATGACTGTTTCCTTGGAAACAGTTTGTATGGCAAAATCCTGACCAAGAAAGAACCAATCAGAATGCACAAATGTATCTCAAGATTATCATGCCACAAAATAAAAGCTGTTATTTTTTTCTGCTGCATCTGATCGATTGAAGCCAACAAAGTGCCAATTCCATATTTTGGAGCAGGAAACTGCAAATTTCATTGTAGCTTCTGGGGACATGGCTTCCAGATTTACTTTTTTATGAATCTTTCAAGTTTCAAATTGGAATTTTGTAATGTACGATGTTTGGCCAGTCATAGACCAGAAAAAATATTTTGGTTTGTTAATTTACGTTAACAAACATGGTGGACAAAAGTGACATGGTGGACAAAGGAAGTTTTTTTTTATGGTAGTTAAAAAAAAGCAAAAAGTTTATATCCTTTCAGGATTCAAGTGTTCAACCCTAAAACGTTCAACATGGCTGTCACAACGTATTGATATTTTATCCCCTTTTCCATTTATAGTACTTTTGCAGGTTATTTCTTCACTGACGCTGGCTCAGATAATTATGGAAGTTCTCACACATGATGTAATCTTGAATAATGAGTAACTTTGCTTTTAGACTGAAGAAGACATTAAACAGAGACCAAACAGCATGGATGAAGAAAGAAGTTTACTGCTGAAACAATATTGTGATTATCACTCAAACAATAATAATAAAATCCCAGAGGAGTCACTTGTGAAGCAATCCCGGGAATTCCTTACCTCAGCACAGCCTAAAGACAGATTTATAAATTTAGATGTTTATGGAAATCTGCTGAAACGAATTGCAGAAAATCAAAAAAGCAGTCAAGAAAGCATCTTAAAGATAAAGAGTGGATTTAAAAGCTTGGAGCAATATGGTGTTAACTTGTGGAGGTTCCCGTGGCGCAAAGAGTACCATACTATAAAGGTATGTTTTGTCAGAAAATACTCATACTTCTTAGTATTTCTGGTCGTTCTTATGTAGGAATAAGGCACCTTTAAATTGGACAACGAGTTTAAGATTGAGTACAAGTACGATTTTCACATTTCAAACCAGTGTCGTTTCCAGAGCCCTGGCTCTTTATGTTGTTTTAGGTAGAGAGGGTAGTTCATGGGATGAGATGGGTATGTGATGTGATAATATGAAGCCTGAAAAAACTAAAATTGGAAAGTCACACTCGTTTAGTAGTACTTGTACTCAAATCTTAAGTC